TATAATAAAATGATATAAATAAATGTATTTTATGTAAAATAGTATAAACTTGTTTATACAAACTACATTGTAAATTTTGTTTACATTGTGAATGAATTTTCCTTTTTAAATATTTTAAATTATTATATATATTATAATTTTTTGTTTTTGAATGGATTTTAATGTATATATAAAACTACTGAAGATGAATTAAATTCAGATAAATCTATATTTTTCAATTTTTTTAGTTTTAAGTTTTATATTTATACATTTATAAAATATTAATATATTTGGAATACATTTTTAGTAATTTTGATATAATATATGTTTCATAATTCAGAAAGTCATTATGAATAATATAGATAAAAATATTATAAAAATATTATGAAATTATGAAATTTAATTTACCTTTGGCCATTTAATAGCATTATTACTATTATGTGATAGCAGTTGCACAACCGTTGGTTCATTATAATCTATTGCTTTGTCACGGAGAACAAACGTATCAATTTGGGTTAATCGTGACAATGGTTGAATAACTTCCAAATCAGGAAACATTGCTTTAAGTTCTGCTGCTTGAACATTACATTTATCTTCAAGTTTGCATACTTTTGCCTTATTTTTACATGTATCTATTAGTTTACTTTCTTGTATTTCTATTTCTTCCTTAATAATTGGAATATCTATTTTTACATTAGCTTTATCATTTTCAGACGTGATATTTTCATTATTTTCAATCGATTTTTCTACTATTTCTATAGAATCTTTTTGTTCTAAATTTTTTTCATTTATTTCTTGAATTTGAGACTCTTTTGGTTTTTCTTCTTGAATATCTTTATCAATTTCTGCTAAAACTTCTTTTTCTTTATTTTGATTCTCTTTTTCTATTTTTACAGATGTCGTTTCTTCAATATTCGTTGTTATATTACTTATTTTTCCTTCATCTGTTTTATTAATTCCTGTTACTTGATCAGTTTTAAAAATTTCACCTTTTATTGATTCTATCACTACTTCATTTTTTTCTTCACTTTTTATTTTCGTAATGTATTCCTTATCTGATGGCATATTTTTTGCAACAGTTGTAATAGTTAGTGCATTACTAATAGGTTTTTCTTCAATTTTATTTTCAGCTTTTATAATAGTTAATTCTACTTGACTTTTTTCTAAATCCATGTGTTCTGATCGTTTATCTATAGTACTTATATCTTTATCTTTCTTTGCACCTACTTTTTCAATTTTCAAAGTACCTTCACCTTTTTCCAATTTTACAAGTATTTCATCTTTATCAAATTTTAATATATCTTCTCTATTTTCAATTTTAATTGCTTTTTCAGATTTATCTGCAACTTTAGATGTTTGAATATTACTATATATATTTTTATTTAAGAGTTTATGAAATGAGAAATCAGGATCATTTAAAATAGTTATATCAGTTCTTCCTAAACCATGTTTCGCTGCTCCAAGTAATAACTCTTTATCATGTTTTCCAGGTTGCCACCAATCAGGTGTATCACCTGATGGTTGACACAATGAAAGTCTTTCTTCCAAATGTGGATGAGATAAAATTTCTTCGCGAATTTTGCTTAGAAGATCTACTCGATCTAGTATTTGTCGTGCTTTTGCAGGACTAAGATGATCAACAGGAACATCTGAAAAATCTGAGATATATATATCACATTTAGTATTTTGATATGTATATTAAATATCAAACAATTGCGTATTTTCAAACAAGATATATTTTAAAATTATATTTACTATATAAATATATATGATATGGAATTGAGATTTTGATTATATATAATTATAATGAATTTTTAATTATATATAAATATAATTATAAACATACCATCTTCGTCATTCAATTTTGCATTACATACTTTTTTACACATTGCTCTAAAAGACATATAATAATCTGTAAGATCATTGTCAGTTTTCTTATCAAATCTGGCTATACTCTTAAATTTAGTCCAATCATATTGAGCTTTCTTTCTATCATAATTAACACCATATGTTGATACAACTCGTAAAAATTCACTTTCCTCACGACGTGACCATTTAGTCTTTTGTTCTTCAATACGAGTTCGTTCTCTTTCTTTTATCATAGCTTCCATTTTTTCTCTTCTTTCCATCTTCTTTATAAAATAAAATAAAAAAGAATAATATAATTATTCATTATTCATTATTTCATTATTATTATACTTTTCATTAGATAATTATTATTTTTTAAATATGATAATTTACCAAAAGATACATAGCAAGTTGCTGTAAATCCCATCCTTGCATATTTAAAGGTGGTTCATTTATTGAAGTAGTATGATTTACAGTTGTATCACTTTCTATTCCTGATTTTGATTTTTGTAATATTTTTACATCCTCCTTCTTTACGCTACGCTGATAAGAAGAAATTACTCGACGTAAACGAGTATTAAGATCAACCACAGAAGGCCAAGTCTTTTCATCATCTAATACGCCATCATTTCCTTCATGACTACTACTAGGTTCAGGTCCAGGTGTATCTGCCTTATTAGGTAAAGCAGGTGAATCACTAGGTGTTTCTCGATTAAATTTATCAGAATCTTTCGAATCTTTTATTATTCCAAGAGATTCAGCATCTTCGATATCATTCTCTAAACTAGTATCATCTCTGCTGCTACTGCTGAAATTTTTAAATATCTTAAATTAAACTTAATTTTATTTTATATATTTTATATAGGATATTTTTAATATTAACAAACAATATTTCTAATATATATTTAATTGTATAAACATACATATACTTAACCAATCATAAATATAATAATTATTTTGAAGCTATAATTTAAAGTTGTATAATATCAAAAAAAAAAATTTCCATGTTTACCATTTTAAAATGTTGCACTAAAAAATTACGTTATAAATAAAAATTATTAAATATATATAATATATTTAATTGCTTATAAGAAACAGATCATTGCATATTGGTATATTATATGCATCATCCTTCTCCACTGTAAATAAAAGCTAGTAGAAAGTAATATTTTAAAACAGTAAAAATACAAAATTTCTTCACTGTTAAGATACGAATAAAAGTATGAATGAAATGAAAAGAAAAATTTATACTAATTCTAGCAGAGGCATTATCTTAAGCAAATTTAAATAACATGCAAGCCATATGTTAGAATAAAACAGCAGTGGCACATAGATATAAAAAAAAACGATGTAAAAAGAGTAATTACTTACTTATTTTGTGTGATCTGAATCTGGGAAGGGGGAGGGCAGCTTGTAATGAAAGAAAGCGCGGGATCAATCCTCATCTGGTCGTAATTCTCGTAGCCGTGTTTGTAGCAGCCAACTATTAAGGATTTGTCTGCTTGAGAGTCCCACCATTTCGCTGGTCGTTCCGTCAACTGTGGAGGGTTTATCCGCAACGCACTGTAGGGCGGTTTCATTTACAATTTGCCAATTTATGTGTGCCAATTGTTTAGATATTAAAAGTTTTTTAATAAATTTTAAAAAATAACAAATTACAATATTTATATTATTAAATAAAATTAAAGAAAAGAGGCATATTATATTAAATAATATTTAATTATTATTCATATATTTTTCTTATTCCTTTTGTTTTTATTTAAGTATAAATATAAATAAACTTTAAACTTCCTGTACTATTTGCCCCTTTAATACAGTGCACTGCTTTATAGCTGTTTCTTACCATGAAATTGTTGAGTTGACCATCTTTGACCATAGTAAGCCGTACAAAGTGTTCACAGTAATTTAAAAATCGTGTATATATTCATATACATGTTTATAAAATAGGACGGGAAAATTTTATATTAGTAATATAGGATTAGCGATTAATAGCTATTTATAAAATAAACATAGTTTAGCTCTATGAGCATTCCTCATACAATTACAGCTCCCAGAATAAACAAATACATTGCACATGCAACTATAAAGCACCGTATAAGCGTGTAAGTAAGTGCATAATATTCTATGATAGTAATAGAAAGTAAAAAATAATGAAGGTTTGAAAATAAATATATATATATATATATATATACATATGATGAGTATATATATGTATACATACATACATATATATATATTTATATATATATGCGCATATGCGCAGATATATATATATATATATATATAAAATCACTAACCTGACATGAACTCCATCAGATATATGCTGAACTAAATCTCCAATAATCTCGTGTTTGATATAATAAAGCATTCGGACACGTAACAGTACTCTGTATACAATACAAAAATTATTTACTATATTTTAATAAAACTAAACAATATATTCGAATATAAATATCTTTTTAAAAAAGACTTTATAATTTAAAATATTGTTCAAATACGTACTTATTTGCATGACGACTCAAGTGTTTTCTATAATTACTTTCAAGAAATATATCTCCATCATATTTTTCAGCATTACTCCAATGATTAGGATCATTTGGACCTCCATTGATTATTGATCCACGAGTTTCTCTACCTTCTCTGACTCGTCCTTTTTTCTTTTGTCTATTATTTCGTCCACTAGTGTTAACACATACAGTTTTGATTTTTTCTCCATTTTCTACAGGTGTAATAAGATCACAAATAAAGTTACGAATTTTTTCATCGCCACGATAGTAACGAAGACAATAGAGTAAAATGACTCGTGCACAATCTTCTACATCAACTTCACGCCATCCTCGACGAAATTGGCTATGTTGAAGAATTTCTTCCCATCGACCCCATCCAAATGTAAGTAAGCCTCGTTCTACCTTAAAGCATTCGCTTCGTGCCCAACTTCCATATACTACTTCACCTTCTCGTGGAACATACTCGTCACAGAATTTCCGTGTCTTCTTACCAAATTTATCTCTTCGTTTTTTACCTTAATGATAAAGAAAATATTATTATATTTCATATTATAATTTTATGATGTTATATGATATAAAATATATATATATATAAAATAAATATAAATAAATTTGATTTTTCACAATATATAAATAATATAAATAAGAAATATAATAAAGAAGCAAATAAAATCATAAATAAAACGCAAAAAAAAAAAAAAATAAATTATAATAATAAATTAAAAATCGAACTTATTCATAAATATTATAAAATTCTTTTTATCCAATTAATACAATAAAACAAATTATAAGCAAACATTAAATAATAAAATTATATTATTTAATCAATGAAACTGTATTAAATTATCATTGCAATAATTTATATTACTTATATTTTATGATTTTAATTTATGAATATATGAATATCATATAAATTATGAAATATAGAAATATTTGACATGCATTATAAAATTTATATTATAATGAAAAGTTCTGTAAAATTAAAATATATATTATGCATAAATATAAAATAATATATACAGGATGAGACATATAACTGTAAATTCACTAATTCAATAAATAATAATTTAATTTTTGATTTTTGAATATATAATTTATTGGAATTATATATTATATAAATCGGAATTATATTATATCATTAGAATATTTCTATCATTTCTATTATTTATTTATATTTTTCAAAATTTTAAGATCTTCATCAATTTTTTAAATTGAAATAATATTTAAAAAAATCCAATAATTAAAATTAAAAGAATAATTATGTATATTTAAAAAAAATTCTATCAATAAATTAAACAAAAATATCTATTAAAATAAATAAGTTTTTCATATTCTAGAAAAAAAACTAAATGAAAGATTATCATTCTTTGAATATCTTTTTTTTTTTAAATAAATAAGTTAATAATAAATATTTCTTATTAATGAAATTTTAACTTATTCTTATATAAAGTTTATCTCTTTTATTACAAATTTTGCTGCATCCTGTATAATTTTAATTTAATTTTTAATATCAATAGAATAAAATAATAATAGAACAGAAAAATGCTATAAACATTTATAATTTAAACATTATTATAATAATACTAATATTATTATTTAACATTTATTAATATTTTAGATGCACATGCATGTGATTATGTGTAATAATTAAAAATAATAAAAAAAAAGATTTGAAAATTATGTTTTTTCTTAATATCTTATAAAATTATTTATATCAACATTACAAAAACAAAAACAATATAAAGAATTAATTTAATGTATATAATAAAAATTGTTACGTTTTTACTTTAATTTGCTGAAAAATAATTTTAATATAAGAAAATATTTTTATATAATTATTGAAAATAAATCATACATTTATAATAATATATACGAAACAATTTTAGTAATTATTAAATTAATCTGTAATGTTTAATAATTTAAAGATTTATATTTGTATGTGTATGTATATTTTAATATTATTATAATGTTCTACTATTTCTAAAAAAACTAAAAAATCTTTACAAATATAAAAATAAGAGTATTAAACTATTTTACTAGTTTAGTAAAATTTCTATCTTTAAATATTTAAAACAAGATATTTAAATATGACTCAATACCTTTGTAATTATAGCAGGATATTAATCCATTCCATGTAATTTGATGAAGCTAAAAAACGATATTGTGTTTTAACATGCATTAAGAATGAACATACCTCTACCTGTTAACCCACTACTTGTTTCATCGTCGCTATTATCATCAGAACTATCAAGATCTGACATAACAACAGATTCATCATGGCCGTATCGTTTAATTTGCGTTCTCCGTCTTGGTTCTGATATTACTAATTCATCCTCTTCTTTTTTTTCTGTTGTATCAATCTCAGCTTTCTTTGCCCATTTTTTCCAAAAATCTGGATCGTCAATATTTATATCTGATCTATTAGATGAACATGCAAAGCTAGCTTTTGAAAATGTCGATCCTTTTTCTGCTTCTATTGTAATAATCTATAAAATTGAAATATAATTTAACCTCAATAAATAAAATTAAAATATTTTTAACTAATGAAACAAATCTAATTTACTTGTGTTCTTCGTTCAAGTATCTGTTCTATATCTTCCTCACAAAATTTATCTCCAGCATTATCATCATCCATAATAGCACCATAAGCACCTTTTTTTAATAAATCTTCTATTTCCTTTTTGGTTAATTGCTTATTGTTTGGATCTTTACCTCCTTGGCTTGTATTCATAGATTGTAGAATTGCTTTATCTAATCCAAGTTTCAAAGAAGCTTTATCAAACATTTCCCTTTCATAAGTATTTCGGCAAAGTAATCGATATACTTTCACCATTTTCTGTTGGCCAATTCTATGACATCGAGCTTGAGCCTGTATATAAATGTTTATTTTAATAAAAAAATATTTAATTATAAATTTACGTATTTGCAATTTAATAATAGATAAAATATTCTTGATTATTATATTAAATAATTTTAATATTAAAATTATTCAAAAATTCATGAAAATTAAATAATTTTATTAAATTGAAAAATTCTCTAAATAGTATTAAATTCAAAACCTGTAAATCATTTTGTGGATTCCAATCGCTATCATATATAATAACGGTATCTGCTGCTGTAAGATTAATTCCAAGACCCCCTGCTTTGGTACAAAGAAGAAATACAAATCTATCAGAATCAGGTTTACTATAACGATCAATTGCAGCTTGTCTTAAATTTCCTCGAATTCGACCATCAATTCTTTCATATGGATATCTAAAAAATAATTTTAATAATAATACATGCAAATTTATTATTTATCTAGAACAATGTAGTTTTAATAGAAAAAATTTTGAAATTAATATTTCTTAAAATAAATAAGAAAAAAAAATTTGCAATAAGAAAGATATTTACAATAAAATACTAAAGATTAATAGCTTACTTTTTATACAATAAATAATCTTCCAAAAGATCTAAACATTTCACCATTTGACTGAATATTAACACTCTATGACCACTGGCTTTAAGTTTCGGTAATAATTTATCAATTAAAACCATTTTTCCAGAACTATTTACTAATGCATGATAATAAGCTTCTGAATCTTCTTTTTCACCAGTTTTATAATCCAATTGTATCTGATCTTCTGCACCATTAAGTAGGAATGGATGAATACAGCATTTTCTTAATTCCATCATTGTATTCATGAGATTCGGAATGTTAGCTGAAGTAGTTCCCTTTGCAAGAAAAGAAAAGTTTCTTTCAAGGATACCACGATAATATTTTTTTTGTATATTTGTTAATTCCACCTAAAAAATAGAAAATAGAACAATTTATTACGATATATTTATTAATTTTCAAATAAAAAAACAAACTAATTACCTCAACTACTGTTTCTTCTTTTGGAGCTAACGATTTTTCTACATCTTCTTTAAGTCGGCGTAACATCATTGGCTTCAAAAGAAGTTGTAATTTATGGACTTCACTTTCACTACTCAAATTACCAAATTCTTTAAGGAATGCTTCACTACTAGAAAACTGTACTGGTTCCAAAAAGTTCAATAATGAAAAAAGTTCATTGACATTATTTTGTAAAGGTGTACCAGATAAAAGAACTCTATGTTCTAAATTTAATTGACGGAGACCTTCAAGTAATTTACAATTTCTATTCTTTAGCCTATGAGCTTCGTCTATAACACATAATCTCCAATTATATCCTCGTAATTCATTAAAATCTGTTATAATTATTTCAAATGTAGTTATCAATACATTGAATTTGATTAAATCTTTAATTTGTTGTCCTTTTTCATTTTTATAATAAACTTCATACTCTTGAAGCATAGTTCGACTTGCTGCACTGTAAGCAAAAAATTATATAGCAAAAAATATTTTATATTTTCAAATGTGAAACTAATTGAAAATTGAACTTACGATCCATGATATACTACAACATTCATATCCGTCCAACTTTCGAATTCACGTTGCCAATTTGGAATGGTTGAGAGCGGTGCTATTATTAAAAATGGTCCACGAATTCCATACTTGTATACTGCATCCACAAATGTTAAGGATTGAATTGTTTTTCCTAAACCCATTTCATCCGCAAGAATACAATTATGTCCATTATACCAGGAAAAAAGCAACCAATTAAGACCTTCTAATTGATATGGTCGCAAACTATTATTATTTTTATAAATTGGTGATTCTTCTAATTTTACCCATGATGATGCATTTGGTTTCTTTTTTGGCTAAATAAAAAATTAATTATTTACATAATAATTATTTTTAAATACAAGTATGCTAACATTGTACTTGCAATATATTACCTTCCATTGATCTTTAGGAGGTACTTTATTGAATTTTATAAAT